ATATATATATATATATACTGTATATATATATATATATATATATATATATCAAACTATGCCAAGGATATCTAAATATTTACACTGAGGCCTAAACCACATCACTTCAAGTCATTAGATGAAATAGGAATGAAAACTGACTTTAGAATGAAAACATAAACAATCTGAAGTCACTTTAAATTAGCTTTGGATTAAAACCATCTACCAACACTCCCCATGAAATATAGCTGCAAGAAAAAAAAAATTGGCCTATGTTCAAATCACTGACTAGAAGGATGAGCAAAGTGCAGAGGAGTTGTGTGACAAGTGATGGTCGTCTTACAAAGCAGCTGCTAATAAAAGAACGCTGTTTCAGAAATCATAATCTCATTCTTTAGAAGTGACACCCTTTCAACCACAATCATGAAGCTTTACATATCATCAGCTGTTTATTTTATGCTCTTCCTGCCCATCTCATATGCAAGATAGAAGTTTAGATGAGAACAAAGACATTTTATCATCTATTGCATATTTTAGTTTAAAGAACACGCCGTGGCATCACAGTTCTTATAAACTAAAAGTAGCAGTTTCATGAATGAATTCATGCTAATCAATTCAGGAGATCATGCAAAGAATATTTTAAATATTTCACCAAAAAAGCAACTCATAAAAGCAACTTGGGTCAGCAGGCCTGGCCTTTCAAATTTAAAACCAGCTGGTAAAAAAGAGAAAGAACATTACGATTAGGAAAAATAATAAACCTAATGTAAAACAATATGTTTCTGTTAGCTTGGTGACTAGGACCGTATAAAGGCCTCCAGATGAGTCCGTCTCAGTTTCTGAGGCATTTTGAAATAAGTCTGACTACGGCCTTGTCTGTTGCATTAAAGAAGCATTTCCCTTCCTCATAGTCAGAGTTGCAGTTCACATGTGCATGACTGGTGATAAAGCAGGACGACTTTAAAGAACATTTAGAGCATAAACAGAGCTGATGTTGACTATATACATGTATCATCTGCTACTCTACATCTCAGTGATGTATTCTGGGATTAGTAAACACTGTGGTCTCATCATTTCCAAATCTAGAGTTAGCAGCACACCACAAATCTGTGGGGCCCCCAGCAAACCATGTGACAGGGCCCCTTCTACCAGAAACATCATGCAATAAACTTTAAATAGTGCCCTTTCACTATGACACAGTCAGTCTCATTACATAAATATGATTAAATGTGTCAGCATCATAAAATAACACTATTATTGTGCTAATGTGCTAATTAAAAAGTTTCAACCTGGTGAAGACCAGAAAGACCAGACAAGAATGTCGAAAGTGAGCCGACCTGTAAACTAGAGATGAAATAAGTCATGAAAATGACTTCAAAGCAAAGATTCCAGAATGGAGTTCAACCGTAAAAACTTCACAGAAAAGCAGTTGATCAATTCCTAAAAACCGAACTAGAATTTTATTGGTTCACGCAGATGTTTGACGCCTAATCAATCAAAATGAATGAACCATATTTTCAATGCAACTAAAGTTCTTCAACTAAACCTAATGAACTAAAACTGAGGTGAAAAAAAGAATAAGGAACACATACACAAAAAAACAATAAGGACACATAAGATGATAAAATAAACTCACAGGGATTCCTGGTTGTCCATCTGATCCTGCCACACCAACATCTCCTTTCTCTCCCTAAATAAAAAACAAAAGTGGTCAGAATCACATATTGCACCTCAGAATCAAAAGAAGAAAACTACACCCATCACACATTTACTGATTTCTGAGGATAGAGTTCACGCATATCACACATATTTTTTAGAAATAGGGGAAATGTGGTAAGCTGCAGGTAAAGACTATCACTTTGCCTTAAATAATCATGGTACATCCCACTAATTGCAGATATAATTAGAGTTTAGCAGTTCCAATTTGGGTTAACATTTTTTTACATACTAATTACATAAAGAGAAATTAAGCATTGAGAAGTTAAATATGCACACATCTTAACTGTAAAGTAAGTATGAAATTTGAGACTGAGTCTGTCATTAAAATCTAAACATGTTACACCCAGCTGTAAAGAGAGCTTATCTAAAGATTTTTTTGCACTTTCTGAAGAACTAAATTACAAGCCGTACACATGTGGGAATGTTGGTAAGAGATGTCCTTCTTTACAGAGATGCTGGGCTGTGGCTGACCATCATGTGAATTCAAAAATAGCATGTTTCTAGTTACATGTGCATGTAATTTGTGTATGGTGAAACACACCTGTCAGAAAATATGTAGCATCCCACATTTTGCATGAGGCATGGAATATGTTCAGAAAAACACACGGCTGTACCACACTGCCATACAAAGGCAAACACTGTAACTACACATTTTGTCAAAATGAAATCTAAAATCATCTCTGTTATGATTTACATATTTAGAGGGGAAAATGTGTGAACACTAATATTTAAATAAAGGGGGAAAAACATGCAAGACATTTTTTGCCATTTCCATTAGTAGTTTTGGCTGTGTAGGGTAGCAGGTTAATATTATTTATGTACACATGCAGCATACTGTTCAAAGTATGTGCAAATTTTCTTCGATTTTTTTATGCTAATTATAAAAATACTTTAAAATGATGTTTTCCAGTCATTCTGACCTGGAGAGGATTTTTTTCCCCCATGAAAATGCTAATGTTATCATATTGGAATAAAACTTACTGACTTGGCTCACACAGGGTGTAACAACTTCCCCCCAAAAAAAAAAAAAAAATAATAAAAAAAATTTTAAAAAAAGATTTTTTTCCCCATCTCAAAAAATTGCATATTAATTTGTTGTTATGCTATGTTATTGTCAATTATTGGATTCAATCTTTTTGTCAGCTTGTTTTATTTTAACTAGCACAGGTTTTGTATTTCTTTTTGGAACTGATTGATCGTAGGCCTCATTGATCTGAGCTTATGCACCTCAGTGTTTGAGTAAATATTACCAAAATTGTCCACTAATTTTTTCACTCAAAAACTGAGGTGCATATACTCAGATAAATGAGGCCCATGACTAATCACTTCCAAAAAAGAAATACAAAACCTGTGCTCACTGAAAGAAAAAGAAAAAAAAAACAGACCAGGAACACCAAATTAGGCAAATTTTAGTGGATTAAAATAATAATAATAACGTGTTTTATTTCTGAGATTATACTATTTCTTTCTGAATTTAACATACAATGTAGTGAGGTCATGCGTTAAAGTAGTACAGTTCGAAACACTCATCAATGCATATTTTATGGCAATATTTTTTTTTAAACAAGCACTAGTAAGTATGTAGTGTGCAGTATGCTAATATTTCGTGAAATGTGCTTAGTTTTAATGTAAAATGCAAGGGCTGGTCTGTAAGACACATAACTAGTGCATTATAAAATATTCAGTCAAATACTGTTTATTTCCCTGGTGTTTTCTTACTGTATTTCTCGTTCACGCACTCAAATACATGCACATATAGACTTTACCCTGAAGCTCTGATATTTGGAAAGACCTCACACAAAGCATGCTTTCGAAACATGACAAACAATAATTGTACCTTATACTGTCGCTCTGCAATTATATCCAGGAGAAGGCCAATTAAAAGGAATTCCACATAACTTTTTATCTCTTTTAACCTTTTGGTGGCAGTTTTTGTGCGTGCACTGAACATTTGATGCAGGTGAAATGTAAGTAATGACCCATTTCGGTTCAAATAAACTCATAATCAACGTAGTCACGAGTTGTTCTTAGGTTCTGGGGTCTGCGTGTTTCAGTTTCTTTTAACAGTCCATATGCATGTATGTCTGCATGTCATGATTAAAGGCTGTTTCCAGGGTTGGCGGCACCACATGTGCTGCGGAAAACCCACCCTTACGAGGGAGCTCTCTTCTGGCACACCACATGAAACCGAGATTTGGTTAACTAATCATCCCTTAGTGGTCTGGGGAAACCTGGTGTTACCGCTACAGCGAGCGATTCTGTCTCAGATCCAAAGTGGGAAGGCCGGGACTTAATAACAAAAACTAGCAAACATGATAATAGTGATCCTGTCCAGTTCAGTTTTCACTTAAGTCTCATGCATACGCTACCCATGGCCCTTTATGAATGTATAAGTGTACAACTGGAAAACAGTTTTTTCAGTTTGTATCAAAGTGCTAATATACACAATAGAGCAACAACAATGATGCAAAACAGTAGTTTACAAAGCTTACATAAAGTCTCAAACATGAATGTAAAACCATTGCATGCTTTAAACAAATAGCTATACAACAGTTGTGCGATGCATCAAGCATGTAAAGTAAAACCTAGAAGAAACACATGGTTTGAACATGAAAGCTGCTTTCTGGTTTAAACACTAAACTGCACAGCTCTAGTTCTTAAAGATGTGTAAAGAGATTTGTATCAATATTACAATAATCTATCAAAAGGACCAAAGTATCATTCATTTGAGTAACATGATGTTAAAGACCAAATACATTCTATAAATCATTTTTTATAATTTAGATCATTTCAGTGAACATTACCAAACGTGTTTCAAATGTTTTAAAAGGTTATTTTATAGCTTTGCGGAACAAAATCTAAATGCCACATCTTTCAAACAAAGCCACATCCAAACCTGAACAAACATCGAGTGCCGCCAAGAGTCAAATCAAAGCCCTTACTGATAAACAGGCTTGATTTAATGGGGCAGTAAATGGCAGGGCGGCACTAATTTTCAGAGAACGGGCGGCACGCAGATGCTGAGACAAGATGCGGTAGCCTGAAAATAGATCTGAGTGACAGACTTCCAATTTAAGTCTAAAAAACTCCACTCATTTGCTCAAACTACACTATAGGGAAAACAGTCGTAATAATAAATATTATATATATATATATATATATTTGTCTGAAACTGCAAATCAGACATCATAGATCTCAATATGAGCTCAAACATTTCTCATCAAATTATTCTAAAACCAAATTACCTAAATTACCAAATTATCACCACTTCTCAGCAGTTCATTTGTTTCTATTTTTAGCTATATTTATTCTATTTATATCTCTCAAGATACTCAAAGAGAAATATCTGAGACAAAGTTGATGATAAGTTAAAGTGAAAATTCCTGAAAACTTTAGGAAGTCTCTTGAGCTATAAAAGAGCAACATCTGAGCACTAACGATCTCATCTGGGTTGACCTACAACACTAAAAGTGTACAATATTCATCATATGTGTTTTTAATGTTGACAGTGGCATTGCCAAATATTATTGCTAGGTGCTAGTTTATTTTTACGAAGTGTCAACATCCTGCTGAAAATGAGCTTTGCCATGATACACAAACTTCATAATGCAACATTCATCTCTTATTTATCATTATACCACAGTATTCAAGTACACTAACGCTAAACCTTAGCTGATGTAAAATGTAACCAGCACACAGTAATTTGGCTGGCATGTGACCTTATATTCATCTAGAGCAGAGAGCAGCTCATGATGTGTACTGTGTCATTGACCAATCATAATCGGGGTGTTTAAGTCGCTATATATAGTCCTTTGGGCAAGATGACAGTCTGCTGCTGGCAAAAAAGCTAAGAAAAATGTCAGTGAGATGGATAAAAAGAATCAACGAAAAGGCCACAAATATGCTCTTGTGCTTAAAATAATCCAGGACTTTCTCGTGTGAGAGGATGTCTGATCGTGTCCCTAACACATCTGATGGTTTACACCCTGTGCTGCTTTAAATACTTTGAAATTCTGGGTGTGAAGTTGAAACTGTCTAGGGTTGCCTGTCTATGTTGTGTGCTAGAACAGGAAAACAACTCCACGGATTCTCATGAACTTCAGAAACAAGACAGAAGTCATCAAAATCACTTCATGGGGTACGGGGCAAAATATTTATGGGTGGGGTTTGATGCATTATTTTCTTTTTTAATGTGGTACAAAATAATGCACCAAAAAATGATGCATTATTTTCTTTTTTAATGTGGTACAACATTGTATTGACACAGGAAGTGAATTCCTTCTCATGCACAATTGACAGAAAACAAGCAGTGCTGATTGACAATGGCAAGGTTATGATGTACAGTAGCATTTCCTTCCTATAGAACCAAAGCCAGTGATTTTCTTTTTTGAATTTAGAATTTTTTCTTGATGTTTTTTTTTCCAGTACAAAACATATAAACATTCTTAAATCAAGAGACATTTACCTGAAAAGCGCAGTGACATAATAATAGTTAGTTTTAGTTTTCTGATAAATTGATCAAAATAAAGGGGGGTTTATGCTTTAAACAAGACAAAATATCTTCCAATGAGGTAAGAAATATAAACTTAATCCAAAAGGAAAACAAGTTTATTTTTTCTGCCCCATTGGAAGTTTTTTTTTTCTTCTCTCATTTAAGCATAAACTTACTTACTTTTGACAAATTTATCAGAAAACGAGACTTAATAGCTTAAGTCATCTTGCTACTCAAGTAAATGTATATTGATCTACAAATGTTTAGATATTTGTACTAGAAAGAAGAAAAAAAATACTTTTTGCAGTATTGGAGGCTGCTGCCTTTTTAAAGCTGCTTTTAATATGCCTCCATCATCACAGGGACCAGAAAAACGTCCCTGGTTGTGACTGATTATGATTTCAGGAGTAGTGGTAGTTGAATTATAAGAGTTTTGGATACGTCAGTCTGAAATCTGTCTTACCTTGGGACCAGCAAGTCCAGGTAGACCAGGTGTCCCAGGTTCACCCTGCAGTGGAAAGAGAATAAAGAAGACCTCCTTTGATTGAAGACTTTTTAAAGACTTTTTTACTTTAATTTAAAACGGAATACTGTAAAATGGGATAAAACTGTTAATGATCACTGATGCACAGCATGAACATTTGTAAGTAGATGCTAAAAGCAGATTTCTTACATTCAGTCCAGGTTTTCCGGGTGGCCCCATTTCCCCCGGTTCTCCTGGGATTCCCTATAAGGTCACAATAGTTTGCATAAGCAAAAACAATGTTTAGTAATCATTTCCTGTCATTTTCAAAAAAATTTAATAGGATGTATTGTTTTTTAACCTTCCTTCCTTGAATTCCCAAGTCATCAAAATCCAATTTGGAAAAGCCAGTGCCCTAGAGGAGTTTTTAAGGGAACCATTTCAGTCATTGTAGTTTTTGTTTACTAAAGAGAAACTTTTTGGACATAACCTTTAAACACAACAACAGAAAAATTAAGATTAAATTATCAGAAAGTTTGAGACTCACTGTTGGTCCTGAAGGCCCTGGTGGTCCCATTTCACCCTATTAAAAGATTGGAGAAAACAAATTATACAAGCCATTATATATTTTTTAATTTTAATGACAATGAAAATCTTAAAATTGACATACTTTAGGTCCTTCCTGCCCTCGCTCCCCTTTTTGTCCTGGTTCACCTGCTTCACCCTGTAAATGGAAGAATACAATATTAACGTAAAGCTTTGAGGTTATCAGAGAATGTTCTTGATGTTTCACTCACTTTCTCTCCATCTCGACCAGGCTCTCCAGATGCTCCCTTTTCTCCTGGTTTCCCCTGGTGGACAAATTACACACGTCCAAGCCTAATGATGAATACCACAAATAATTCTTTCTGTTGTACTTACAGGTTTACCATCAGGGCCAGGAGGTCCTTCTCTGCCTTTCTCCCCTCTGAAACCCTACATTCAAACAATGAGGAGATAAATATGTGTTTTAATCAGATGTCCCAAACAAGCAAAAGACCTCAGCAAATTTGCCTGTCAATCCATTAGGATGCATAGTTTAAAAAATGTCTCACCATAGACCCAGGTAGACCGGGCAGACCAGGTTTACCACTAGGACAGTCACAACCTTCTACAGCAGGAGAGCGGTCCGAAGGACACTGGGAATACAACACATTGCACGTAAAACCTAAACTAAACCAATCACCAATCAAATTAAACATTTTAAAAAGCAAAAATAGCCAGGCTGGTAACTTACCCTGTCATTATTCTGTAACAAACAGAGAAAAATACATTAAAATGGGAAGGAAATCACTGGAGGCAGGTAACACGTAATGTTCCTGGATCAACATCCTTAATGGTCCTCAAACAACATTCCTTTTTTTTAAACCTTATTGAAAAAAAAAAGAAACACCATGCTGGTTGACACCAACTAGGATTTGATGGTGAACAGCTTGGCTAGCAAGACCAACAACAAACCAGTCTTACCACAGAGTAAATTTCACACGCTGTCTCTCTCTCACTTTGCTGGGGATCACAGTAGATCCGTAACTTCTGCAGCACTATCTGATAAAGAAGCACAAGACACTACAGAAATCTTTTGATCTGACCATTTGTGGAACAATATTGTGGTAGCAAACTATCAGTCTTCTAAGTTTCTCTTAGTTTGGCACATATGTGACCCTAGACCACAAAACCAGTCATAAGGGTCAATTTTTCGAAATTGAGATTTACACATTATCTGAAAGCTGAATAAATAAGCTTTCCGTTTATGTATGGTTTGTTAGGATAGGACAATATTTGGCAGAGATACAACTAAATTCTGGAATCTGAGGGTGCAGAAAATCGCCTTTAAAGTTGTCCAGATGAAGTTCTTAGCAATGCATATTACTAATCAAAAATTACGTTTTAATATATTTACAGTAGGAAATTTACAAAATATCTTCATGGAACATGATCTTTACTTAATATCCTAATGATTTTTGGCATAAAAGAAAAATCAATAATTTTGACCCATACAATGTATTTTTGGCTATTGCTACAAATATACCCCAGCGACTTAAGGCTGGTTTTGTGGTCCAGGGTCACATATAAGCTTGTGATCAGGCAGGTGTCAAAAATAGCGTTGGAGTCACTTACAGGGACTGTAGTCTCAATATTGATTTTCTTGGCGACCTGAGTCTTTCCATTAATGTAGATGGGAACAACTGGATCTAGGAGCTGCTCCTCCACGTATGCGCCGTCTATGAAACAAGTGATGCGTTTGTGCTTCACCAGGAACTTCAGCTGGTGCCAATCTGTGTCAAAGAGCCTCTATAGAGACATAAATCATATCATTAAAAGACATAAACACAATGATATTCTTACTGTATAGATATTTTAATAATAACTGCATCCCAAATTACATACTAAAAGTATTTACTTTAATGTTGATAGGAAAATTTGATGAAAATTAATTTTGGATCAATTTAGCACCGATATCATGTGAATTAGGATGCAGCCAATGTTTTTATTAATTAGATTTAAGAGTGATATAAAAAATTCAGAGACCTTGATGCCTCGGTCGTTAAATATGACTGTCTGCTCTTTCTTCAGAGTGCTGGTGCAGGTGAAAGTGGCCGATTTGTCAGCTCCGTTCAAAGTCACGGCGATCTGCTTAACCCCGTCCTGAGACAACACCCTTAACAGGTCGAACTTCATCCAGTGAGCTGGGTTCTTCAAGCGCAAAGTGGCCACAAACACAAAAGCTGGCGGAAGGCCTTCTGGAAAGATCTCTCTGTGGGGAACATCAGGTGAAGATCAAAGTAGCCTGAATTTTCCAACCTCAACAATTCACTCAACATCTCATTTACATCACAGTGACAGAATTCAAACAGTTCAACATGTACAAGAACACAAACAATGCAGTACACAAAAAAATCACCTGGTGTTGTGGGTGATGTTCATACGAGGGCTGAGCTGAGACGCTCTTTCTGATATCAAAGAGCCCTGAACCTTCTGAGCCACCTGCTCAATCTTCATCAGGCTCATTAGATCAAAGCCCTTCTGATCGTTCACTGTCCCAAGGATCCGCGTTGGACACACTGATTCTGTGAATGAGAGAATGTAAATCTTCAATTCACAAACACTTTAGTTGCACTTCAAATATGATGCTTTGAATCAAAGCGTGTTTAGATAACCACACAATAGTAACCGAATAAGAAAATGTCTTCTTTTTTTTTTTGAGATCTGGTTTCATGAGATCTCTTTAAATTCTCAGTTGTTTCTTCTAGGCAGCAATACGATAAAATAGAAAGCAAATGAACACTTATATTTCCAGATTCTCCGTTTTTCAGAAGAGATCTCAACAAAGTCTCAAAACTGTGCTCCTATGTGCCAAGACACCAAAGTCTGACTGCAATCAAAAGTCAGAGATCTTAATATGGACTCAAATTCTTTCAAAACCAAATCTGAGCTGCTATCCACATTAATTTTCATTGTATTGACTCATTTGTATTCATTTTTATTCCTCCTAAGGGAGGAGAAACATCTGAGACTTGTAACTAAAAAGTCTCCCCAATTAGGAAAGAGCCACATTTGAGCAATAAAAAAAAACAAAAAAACAAATTAACATACACTCAATGAAACAACTGAAAATAGAAGCCAGTGCTTAACTATGTAGCATTAAATAGACAATAGTCCAAAGACAGAATGGTCTGTAAGTATCTTGTCATATGATATTCTTTGCTGAGTCATGGCAAATGATGACCAACAGTTTATCTTCGGGATTAAACAGATGCATTGGGCCCCAACGTTTACATCCATGTAATGTCTTTAATGTCACTGGTTACAGAGAAAACTATGCTCCAAAGTCTAGGGCGACTCACCCTCACACAGTTTCTGCTCCATCAGGTCCCATATGCTTGCAATGGATTTATAGTCCTCCACGTGCAGCACGTACGTAGAAGGTGGCTTGTTGGCCATAGACACCAATTCAGAGTTAGTGATCTCATTTCCCACACCGACTGCAAACAGAACAATATTCTGTGCTCTGGCCTCCATGGCAGCATCCTCAACATCATCCTGCGAGCGCCCATCGGTGAGAACCACGGCGATGCGGTTTCTGGGAGACTGGGATGTGCGGTTAGGCATCCCGAAGACGTGGTCTGTGGCAAACTTGATGGCACGGCCAGTCCGTGTGTTACCCCCCAGGTACGAGATGGAGGTGATGGCCTCGATGAGTTCTTGGCTGTTCTGATGCTTTCCCAGAAGAATCTCCAGTCGAGGGGTGTCGCTGTACTGGACGACTGCCACCTGAGTGTGCCTGGTGCTCACGTCAAAGCCACTGGTGATGTTGATGAGCCAGCGCTTGGCGGTTTCAAAATTAGGGATCCCCAAGCTCGAGGAGCCATCGATGATGAACGCAAGGTCATTGGGAGTTGTGCTACAACCTGCAAGCCCAGGAAAACATTTGCCCACAGTTGTCCACATGTAGACCAAGTTTTGTTACAATTGCTATAAAAATGTAGAGTGAAGTCAGGTACATTTGTCCACTTTTTGACTGGCATCTCAACCAATTGCTCAATTTGCCTGAATTCACCCTGCAGTGTCAACACAAGAATGACTGAGTAAGTATTACAGAAGTCATTTTCTCAAGTATATTCATTTACATTTATGCACTTGGCAGATGTATTAATTCCAAAGTGACTTACATTTTATTTAAGGCATACATTTGATCTGTCCATGCATTTCCTGATAATTGAACCCATGACCTACTGTTGGAGCTAGAGTAATGCCTCAGGAGTGTTGCTTTAATGCAACTTTATACTGTTAACATGTTCCATAATTGAAACCATTTGACTAATATATTATAAAGTATATGACTAAGAAAAAGATGCCAAACCAGCTTGAGTGTCCTCTTGTTGGAATCCACTGATGTGCAGCAACAAAACACAAACAAGCAGTGAAGAAAACATCCATGTCCACATGGTATGGCAACAAAAAGCCAAGCAGCAGTTAGAAAATGCCTGGAAAAAAATTAGATTTTGTGTAAAATTTCTATCTATACATCTACATCTACATCTACACACACACACACACACACATATAATATATATATATATATATATATCAACACCATGGTACTGTTTCAAATGTAATCCCCTTTGTAATCGTTAACATTTTCATAAGTAACTGTAATTTAATTACACATTTTTTCTTAGTAACTGTAACTGATTACAGTTACATTTATTTTGTAATTAAATTACGTAACGCCGTTACATGTAACTAGTTACTCCCCAACACTGTATATACATATATATACATATATATATATATACTGTATATAAGAAAACAAACATTAATCTGTTACTCATAATATAATATACAATTCATTGAGTACATTTTAAAAAGTTTAAAAATATTTGTTTAAATATTAAGAATGTTTTTTATACACATCACATGGGGGATTTCCAGAAATTCATGGTATTAATAATATATGTTTAAAATGCAACTTACAGAAATTTGTGTTGAATTTATAATTATGTATAACATTTTTATATAATTATATATAACATGTTCTATTAGGTAACTTAATTTATTTTCTGAATTTAATCTTAATCTATAGATTACATTATATATAATTCATAGATTACAATACACACACACACACACACACACACACACACATATAATATATATATATATATATATATCAACACCATGGTACTGTTTGATAAGTAAGTTATTTGAACAAATGCATCCAAAACATGGTGTTACCATGATTTTCCATGGTATATTTTATAATACCATGGCCCTTAGAAAAGTTAAATTGAGACAACATCAAATATTCCTATAAAGAATTAAAAAACAAAACATAATAAGCCATTCTCTCACCAGCAATGTGAATTCTGGATATCTGGATGTTTAAACAGAGACTTTCCCCCAATAGGTTACAAGACAACAGCTAAAAATGCTCTCATTACTGACATGAATTACAGTACAGTGCTGCAGAAACAGTGCACAGTGGTAAGATACAGCCAAAGACTATTTTATATCTGCATCAGTGACGTACAGCCTTTCCTGGGCAGAATGAAAGAGCGACAGGCATCAGAGAGAGGGAGGAGTATGGGTTTAACCCTCCACAAAACCATCTTCAAAGAAAGTCAAGCCAAATGGCTCTGAGCCTCCAAACCCAAGGCCCATTCCACAAATAGCGCAGTCCAAAACATCTTTATTTTCTCTGCCGTCATGCATTGAGCTATTTAGAAGAGTCAATTGACATTACATTAACATCATGTCTGTGCAATGTCTTTTGTGTTACAGTAAAGACTATGCCTTTATTCCTCCAGTAGCACATAGTTTGTTTCCATCCGTTTAGGCCAGATACTTAAATACAGATGTTTTGAATCCTAATACTGTGAAATAACTCCTCAGGGATCACCGTCATTCTTCATTGGCCTGTTTATGAATAAAAAGATGTTTAGAAAGAAAGTAACACATCCAACCACATTAGTACCTGAGGAAGGAATAACCTGTGAGTTGCTTTGCTAAACGTCCCTGTGTATGTATTTATACACCACAGACTTGTACACATATCTGCTGTTCAAACACATTTATATATTAGCACAGCTATTTTGGATCAAAGGTGGGCCCCTCCAGGTACCAGAGGAATCACATTAGTCAAAAATAGAGGAGACATAAACAAGTGAACTGAAGCATGTGAGTTTAGTTTAATGGTGTGTGTAGTGTTTTTAATATGATGTCATGACGCTAAAATACAATGCATTTGTTGTGTGGAGGATCTGAGGTGGAAAAGCAATGGGAATAAAAGCAGCATGCATCTCAAGAATGGGGAATGTTTCTGCTTGTCCTAATATATTAAAGGAAATGGTGGTATTGGGGAGGTTGGTTATGATATTTGCAGAGAACGTGTTGAAATATGCACATCATGTCACGGATATACAATGCCGCCCTCTGGTGGATACAATGGTCTTTACACTGAGTACAACTAATCCGGGGCTCGGGAACCTCTAGTGGTTCGTGATGGTATTGCTATTGGTTCACCAGTTTAAATAAAAAATGTTTCCCTATTTTTTACTCAAATATATTGAAAAGTGCATAAACATATCCTAGAAATAATATAGACTCACATGAGATACATACGTCCTCTTGTCATGACGTCATCATTTGTAGGCCAACATTAACATTAACATTTTAATTTTTGTATTTTTTCCTTCGGGGTTTTCGGTGCATTTGTTGTGTGGAGGATCTGAGGTGGAAAAGCAATGGGAATAAAAGCAGCATGCATCTCAAGAATGGGGAATGTTTCTGCTTGTCCTAATATATTAAAGGAAATGGTGGTATTGGGGAGGTTGGTTATGATATTTGCAGAGAACGTGTTGAAATATGCACATCATGTCACGGATATACAATGCCGCCCTCTGGTGGATACAATGGTCTTTACACTGAGTACAACTAATCCGGGGCTCGGGAACCTCTAGTGGTTCGTGATGGTATTGCTATTGGTTCACCAGTTTAAATAAAAAATGTTTCCCTATTTTTTACTCAAATATATTGAAAAGTGCATAAACATATCCTAGAAATAATATAGACTCACATGAGATACATACGTCCTCTTGTCATAACGTCATCATTTGTAGGCCAACATTAACATTTTAATTTTTGTATTTTTTCCTTCGGGGTTTTCGGTTTTTAAGTAAAACAAGCGCACGTACACAGTCATTGAAGCTACTGTATTTTTTAAAGGACAACAATGTTTGTCAGATTCATCACACACTAACTCACACCCTTTAGGTAAAGTCCTTATTAAGCAGCTTATTAGGATGTTATCTGTAATAAGTTGTTACATATTGACCTTTTTATGTGTAAAAAAAAGAAGAAAAAAAAAGCATTGCTAGTATCAAGTATCCAACACAAAACACTTGATCGTGACGTGAGTCGAGGTCAGCAGAAAGATGTATTAATGAGCGTGCTCTTATTATGGAACTATATAATTTGGCGGAAGAGTTAGTTTATCGTGGTGTCTTTTATCATATTTCTAGAACAGTCATTTTATAAAAAGCACAAGGCCACCCGAGTAGGCCTATATGATTATAACACAGTTAAACCCTTTAATATATTTCGTGCCATATTGAATTAGTTATGTTATTATTTAATCGTATTTTTTATTATTTATATATTCGCTATATTTTGTCAGTTGAATTACCCCATAAAATTCAAATTTCGAGCTGGTGAGTTTAGGACCCTGCGACTCATATGAGGAGTGGGTGGAGTCACGGATGATTGACAGGATATTCTGGAGGCACGGCAGGCGAGTAATCTGGCAAATTGACCTCAGCCACACCGTCAGGCTACAGACGGCGAATTTTGAACGAAATTTCGCCCTAAATCGGGAATTTCATCGCGTTTTGATGCCGAAATATTGGCCAGAAAGTACCATCCATGGACTTCCATCTCTGATGTTCGTGTTTGAGAGCAGATAATGATGAAGATGAAGCTGCGAGCGGCGGGAGGCGAAAATCACCGATGCGACTTGAATTCCGTTAACGGATCCGATCGTGAGCGCGGCACTGGAGCGGCTCAGCTCGACAAGGAGGCGGTGTTCGAGTGGTTCGGCTTACAGCTGAACCCGTCCGGACGCGTGGAGCTGCTTTGCGGGCTGCTGCATATGTGTCAGCCGCTGGAGCTACGCTTCCTCGGCGCCTGTCTGGAGGATTTGGCCCGGAGAGATTTCACCGTCCTGCGAGATTATGAAATCCGGGCCAACTGCCCCGCTGATCTGGAGGGGCTGGTGGACGTAAGCGACCCCGTTGTGCTGTCCAAACTGCTCGTTTATTTGTCTTTGCTCGGATCCAAGAGTAGGGAATGCGCCGGGATTCTCTTCAGGACGTTGAGTCGAATGGACGCCGGGATGTGCGGCGCTCTACCGGAGCCGGAGACTGTGGATCAACTGCGGCTGCTCTTCACGATGGGATCATTACACCCGGCGTTCAGTTTCTATCAGCGGGAAGAGCTGCGAGCGCAGTTGGATAGACTCCAAAGATGGGTGTGTTATACTAACATTAACATTATACTAACACATGTGGCAGAAATACCATGGTAATTTCATGTTTTGCACACGTACCCTAAAATACCATATGAAAACCATGGTATTCTTGGGAGTACCACCCTTACAGAAAAGTCCTATGACAGTACCATGGTACAATGATGGTATCGGATACATTACAGGAATATTATCATGGTACCGTTTCATGTATTGGCTAAAGTCACTGATAAAAATGACCAAAAGCACCATGGTATTACCATGTTTTTTGGATGTGCACTATGCTAATGCCATGTTATTCTTTACAAAAATACTTAGAGTAGCATATAAATGGTTTTCTGATTATCATATTCATATTGCTAAATGAACATAGCAATATCGTGGTATTCTTGGGCGAATACCAGCTTTACAGAAAAGTCCTGACTCCTGGCACAGGACCATGATACATTGAAGGTATCAGCCCTTATGAAAATTAACCATGGTTTTACTATAGTAAAGGTGTAGTAACCATGGTTTTTTGGGCGGATTGATTACCATTTGTATTACCAGTTTTACTACAAATACCATGGTTAAAATATGGTTAGTGAAGCAAAACCATTGTTAATTTGTGGTTACCATGGTTTAACTATAGTAACCATGTTTTTGTGGTTTTATTTGTAGTAAAACCATGGATAATTTTCGTAAGGGAGATGATAAAACCATGGTATTTACATGGCACTCCAGGGATATTATGGTTCTACTATGATACATGTCCAAAAACATGGTAGTACTATAGTACCTTTTCATGTATTGGCTGAAGTCACTAATAAAAATGACCCAAAAAAATCATATACCATGGTATTTACATGTTACTCTAAGGAATATTATGGTTCTACTATGGTGCGTGTCCAAAATATGGTAGTACTTTTCATGTGATGGCTTAAGTCACTAAAAAAATGACCAAAATCACCATGGTATTACTTTTTTGTTTGGATATTTAATACATGGTATTCTTTGAAATTCTCGGAGTATCATATAAATACCATGGCAAACATGAAACATGAAAGAAAAAGAGTTCAAGCAGGTAAGTTTCATTTTAATTTTTAATATTTAGATATTCTCAGTAGGGATGTAACAATTCACTCAACTCACGATTCGATTCAATTCACAATTTTGATTTCTCGATTCGATTCACGATTTTAAAAAAATTTTTTTTACAAATTATAAATAAATGTGTCCTTTTATTATTGCTTGGACAAAATGCTGCATGTTTCTTTGTGAAATTGAAATATAACACTATAATAATATACTAATACAGCACTTGTATATTATTGCTCTTTTGTTGGTTTTGATTGCTTCTATTGTCCTCATTTGTAAGTCGCTTTGGATAAAAGTGTCTGCTAAATAACAAAATTTAAATATAATGTAAATGTAAATAACAAAACTAAATTAACATTTTAAAACAAGCCCCAAATCAAATAAATAACACAAATAAAGAAATATCTTCATATAAACAAAATAAGGCTGTCTGTGCTCTTTCCATTTAAAATTAGAGACAATCATTTCCAAACAATGATATAATTATGTTTAATAATCATTAAACATAATAATAATCATTATCCAAACAAAGATGCTGCATACATGCCACATGAGGATTTTTTTAAATCTAAATTACATTGTAAAATTTCTAAATTTGAAGCAAAAACAGAATGGTTTGACTTCAGTTTTGTGAAACTATACATAAAAAATATCTGCATGAAA